CCGAGGCAGAAATTGAGGATGAAGACGCCTCGATCAATGAAACAAGACATTTATTCGCCTGAGGTTTCGAAATCCGTCGCGGATTCATCATCAGAGTCATATTCAGAAAGCAATACCAAATGCGGGTAGCGTATGTACTGGAAATTGTAGTATTTGTAGGATACAGTCATTACTGCAAACACACAACGACATTTGATGTTAATTGCCTACCTGAGTGTTGATAGTTTATTTCAAAAAAACATGCGGTGTGCGACCTCTGAACTCTCATCACGGGTGGTAGAATCGGGCGTGAAGATTGTTCGGCCATCTGGCCCTCAGGTGTTGGCGTAGGATGACGCGGTGGCCTGTCATTTTACCAAATGGCGACTTGCTTTGGCCAAATAGAGTCTCAAGACCGAATATAGTTTGGACAAATACTTGCACGTGTTTATGGATTGGGGGCCCGTGAACTGTTACTCAAGTAATTATCAGCTCACCCGATTGCCACATCTAGCGAGAATTTCGGCCTCATCAAATGCGAATATGTGGCCAGTTCTCGTCGGATGAACCGCAACCATTTGCCCATTCCATATTTGGTGTTGAGACTCAATTTGTAATCATACGCCAACACCGGAGGGCCAGATTGCCGAGCGATCATTACGTCCGAGTCCATCACGCGTGATGAAAGTTCAGCATGTCAGAGCCCACAAACAACAAACTCTCAACATGAAAGAAGGCAATTATCGTTAATCGTCGTTGTGCTTTTCAGTAATGACTGTATCCTATAGATACTGCAAATGCCTGTACATACGTTATCCACACCTGCTATAGCTCTCAGACTGTGTATGTGATGATGAATCCGCGAAAGATCTGGAAACGTCAGGCGAATAAAAGTATCGTCCCAGCGATCATGTTTTCGTCTTCACAATTACTTCCTAGGACTCACACGTCCGTTTGTAATGGTAATGAGAGATGATAGTCCGCACATTGACACCTATATTAGTTGCCGAGTAATGCGTGCAAATAAGTGAGCAAAACAAACTCCGGTTCAGAAATAAACATCAATCAATACGGTTTTTAAAACAAGGTTTTTAAAACATGTTTTAACTGTGAATAGAAAGTGATCTTTACTGTTCACTTCGGTCTGGTGCCAGGCCGCGAACGTGGAGCGTTGAATAGCCTACCAGAGGTACAATGTATATTTATCTGATAACCGCATGCTAACTTCAAGAGATCGAATTTGGCAATCGTACGTTTTCCAATATTCGTTATCAGAAATTTACAATAATATAAGGATGAATATCGTGACAGATGTTTAACGATCCGATTAACAGTAAGTGCGGAGTAAGTGTTCAGATATCCGGGGTTAGATTCTAGTCGCATCAAGAGTTTGAGAAGGGGGAAGGGGTTGAATAATCGTCGCATACTCGGCGTTTTGCAACCTACTACATATGAGGCGCGAGGACGCGCGGTGACGCAGCATTATTACCTGCGCGAACGCCCTATGCGCACCCGCAAGTGGGATTATTGAGCCGTGCGGCGATTTGCCCTGTCGTCATCAGGCTCTACTGTAGCAGGAGCATGGA